GATGATCCAGCAGATGTTGGCAATTTGATCTCTGGTTCCTCTGCCTTTTCTAAAACCAGCTTGAACATCTGGAAGTTCACGGTTCATGTATTGCTGAAGCCTGGCTTGGAGAATTTTGAGCATTACTTTACTAGCGTGTGAGATGAGTGCAGTTTATGGTAGCTTGAGCATGTGGCCCTAATTTAGAGCTTGTGCCTGGGACTTGTGACTTGGAGCTCTCCATGTTTCATTAGGGAGGGTTGCTTATCCCCCAACCCTCCCTCTTTCCCTTCTTCACCTCCTCAGCCTTCCAGAGGACCTATTGCCTACATCAGTCTGTCTGTATTTTTAAAACAAAATTTTTTTGATGCTGACCATTTTTACTCTTTATTGAATTTGTTACAAATTTGCATGTGTGTGTGCGCGTGCTCAATTGTGTCTGACTCTTTGCGACCCTTTGGACTGTAGCCCATCAGGCTTCTCTGTCCATGGGATTTTCCAGGTGAAAATATTGGAGCAGGTTGCCATGCCCTCCTCCAGGGGATCTTCCCAACACAGGGATCAAACCCGCATCTCCTTTGTCTCCTGCATTGCAGGTGGATTCTTTACCTACTGAGCCACTGGGGAAGCCCCTGTTACAACAGTGCTTCTGTTTCATCTTTTGGTTTTTTGACTATGAGGCATGTGAGATCTTAGGGCCCTGACCAGCGGTTGAACCCACACCCCCTGTGTTGGAAGAAAAAGTCTTAACCACTGGACTGCCAGGGAAGTCCTTGTCTGTATTTTTGAAAGGAATTTTAATTGTGGTAAAAAAAAACAAAACATTTACCATCTTAATCATTTTAAGTGTATAGTTCAGTGGTGTTAAGTACATTCACATCATGGTACAACTGTCACCACCAACCATCTCCTGAACTTTTACATCTTCCCTAGTTAAAACCCTGGATCTGTTAAACACTAACTTCCTGTTCCCTCCCCAGGCTCTGGCAACTATCATCCTACTTTCTGTGTCTATGAATTTGACCCCTCCAGAGACCTCATTTGAGGATATCATACATTATTTGCCCTCTGTGTCTGGCTTATTTACTTTAGCATAGTGTCATCAAGGTTCATTGATGTTACAGCACACGTGACAATGTCCTTCTAAAGGCTGCATAATATTCTACTGTGAGGTTTCCAGGTGGTGCTAGAGGTAAAGAACCTGCCTGCCAATGCAGGAGACATAAGTGATGAAGGTTCGATCCCTGGGTTGGGAAGATCCTCTGGAGAAGGGTATGGTAACCCACTTCAGTATTCTTGCCTGGAGAATTCCATGGACAGAGGTGGGTTACAGTCCATGGAGTCACAAAGAGTGGGACATGACTAAAGAGACAGCCCACACATATGCAATATTCTGCTGTATGAATGGTCCACATTAAAAAAAAAGCAGTTTATTTTGTGTTTGGATGTAGCCAATTAACAATGTTGTGACAGTTTCAAGTGAACAGGGAAGGGATTCAGTCAAACACATGATGTATCCCTTCTCTCCCCACTCCCCTCCCATCCAGGGTGCCACATAACATTATGAGCAGAGTTCCATGTACTACACAGTAGGTCCCTGTTGGTTGTCCTTTTTAAATACAGCAGAGTGTACATGTGAATGGACCACATTTTATTTATCCATTCTTTCATCGACAGATGCTTGGGTTGCTTCCAATTTTTGGCTATTGGCAATTTTGGCTCCTCCATGAACGTGAGTGTACACATATCTGATTCTCTGCTTTCACTTCTTTTGAGGATCTACCCAGAAGTGGGGTTGCTAGAACATATGGTAATTTGATGTTTAATTTTTTTGAATAACAACCATAATGTTCTCCATTTTCCATTCCTTCCGGCAGTGCATAGGTTTCCAGGTTCTTCACATCCTTGCAAACACTTAGAAGTTGGACTCTGGCTGGTGGAAGAGCCAGTGAATCAGAGCCCCTAGTGGGGGGCACCCCTGGCAGAGGTGGGGGAGGTTGAGGACACAGGGGAGAACTTGCTCTGCAGGGTTCCTTTAGCTGTGTTGTCCAAGGAGGTAGGGGCACAGAGGGAACACTTGGCTCATAGGATGGAGTGAAGAGATTGATGAGAGCAGGACTTGAGCATTTTCAGCAGTCTCCTTGATGTTGTCTGAGATCCATGGGCCCTCAAACGTGATTGAAGTTGGCCTAGGTGGGGGGTTCAGGGGACCTCTGCCTGCTCCCTGTCTCCCTTGAATTAGAGGCACTGAGCTAGAATTGTCTTGACAATGGAATATTGTAAAGTAATTAGCCTCCAACTAATAAAAATAAATGGAAAAAAAAAAAAGAATGACAGGACCTGTCTCCAAGGATTGTGTTAAGGTTCCAAGAAATGAGGCACCACCCAGATGGCACATATGCTCACATAGTGAGCATGCCTGATCACTGTGTTCCTAATATTATTGCTACCCACCCAGTCTGTTTTGGTTTCTTCAGGGCAAGGATTTGAGTGCAAGTGGTTTATTTGAGAAGTGATCACAGAAAAGATCAGTAAGCGGGGAGGAAGTGAACCCCAATGAACTGCAAACAGGGACTCAAACAAATACATATACATGCATGGTCATAGTAGCGCACATCATAGGTAGCCAAAAAGGTGGAAACAGAGACTTCCCTGGTGGTCCAGTGGTTAGGACTCTGCTTCCAATGTAGGGGACAAGGGTTCGATCCTTGGTGGAGAACTAAGATGCTACATGTGTGGCCAAGCCAAAATGAAACAAAATAAAACAAAAGCCATCCTAAATGTTCAACAGATGAATGGATAAACAAAATGTGCTACATTCTTACAAAGAACTATTACTAGCAGTACAAGAAATGAAGCACTGATACATGTTACCAGGTGATGAACTTTGAAAGCATTGCGCTGAGTGAAGGCAGCTACAAAAGACGTAAAAGGTTGCAGGGTTTGATTCCATTTATATGAAATGTCCAGAACAGACAAATCCGTAGAGAAAAAAAAAGAAAAGAAAAAGAAAAAGACTAGTGATTGCCAGGGGTGGGCGGAGGGGAGAGTGGACTGCTGATGGGGTCGGGGTCTCCTTTAGGGGTGATGGAAATGTTTCGGAACTAGGTTAGAAGTGGTGGTTGCATAGCGCTGTGAATGCCAGTGAGTTCCTTACTTTAAAATGGTTCATTTTATATCATGTGGATTTCACCTCAATTAAAAGATGAAGAGGGAAGTAAGACAGGGGAAAGGAGGCAGCTTATAGAGAAAGTTTCTCTCATGGGCAGCTGGAGTCCTGCTGAAGAACATTAGTAACACATGTAGAACCACATATCGGTCATTGAACCAGAAAGAAAGAGCTGGAGCTCATCAGTCATTGGTTGAGACTCATCAGCAAAGCTCATCAGTCATTGGTTGAGACTCATCAGCAAAGCTCATCAGTCATTGGTTGAGACTCATCAGCAAAGCTCATCAGTCATTGGTTGAGAACTCTGTCAGAAGGGAGGAGGGAAGTGAGTTTGTTTTAATTTTCTAACACTCTGGTCAGCTGTGCACAGGCGGAGAAGTCAGGAAGGATGCTCTGCAAAGTCAAGGCTGAGGGCATATGGAGGGGCCAGCTGGATGGAGCGCCTCCTCCTTGGGGGAGGAAGCGTCCTTGGTGCCTGGGACTTACATGTATTAATGTGCCAGGCATGTCATGCTTGGCTCCACAGGTCATCGTGTGTATGGCACACCCATGGCCGGAGGGTGGTTCCCACCTTCACTGACCCCCAGTCCATGTGTCTCCCCCCCAGGATGCTGCCCATCACAGAGCAACTGCTGCACCTCCTGGGGTTGGAGAAGACGGCGTTCCGTTTGTATGCTGTGTCCGGGCTCCTGCTCACCCTGCTGTTCTTCATTTTCCGTCTGCTGCTGAAGTTCCTGAGGCTCTGCTGGGGTTTCTATATCACCTGCCGCCGACTACGCTGCTTCCCTCAGCCACCCCGGCGCAACTGGCTGCTGGGCCATCTGGGCATGGTGGGTGTGGCTGAGCGGGTGGGCCGGGTGGGCAGGGCAGGGACAGGTATTCAGTAAGGATGATGGCCCTCTGGCTTCCCTTATCCCCTCAAGAATCTGGCTGGAGCCATGAACAGACCCATTTTACAGGATCTGAGTGAGACCGAGGTTCAGAGAGGGCAAGCAGTTTACCCAAGGTCACACAGCTTTGATGAGGCAGCGCCGACTCTAAAGTTCTCTCTATAATTCCCGGCTATTGCTATAGCAACAGGCACCAGTGCTTATGAAATCTGGGTGGGAGAGTGGGAGGTATCCTTGTAGATTTCATTGCTTCACCTGTCCACCAGTGTGGTTTCACAAGCTCTCCCATTCTCTTTAATGCTGTGGTCCCAGGTGAGGATTTCAGCCCTTTTCTTTAATTTCTTTTCTTATTTTGCATATATATTCCAAGTATTAATTCCGGCACTTTATAAATATTAACTCATTCAGTCCGCTTGACAATCCTAGAAGGTAGGCCCAGCAACTATCTCCTTTTTTTTCCCCCTTCTGGAGAATACTGAGACACAGAGAGGTTAAGTAGCTGGCCCTAGGCCACGCAGCTCATAGCTGACAGAGTCTGGGTTCACACCCATGCTGTCTGGTCCCAGCACTCCTGATCTTAGCTCTCTACCCTTGCCCCTCAGGCTTCTGGATGAGAAAGGCTGGACTTTTCTAAATGGGCTTCAGAGGTTGTAAGAGAGAAATTCAGACTCCCGAGGGCGCCGAGACTGTGGGGGCCCCAGAGCCCAGCCCCTATTTCCCTGCTGGACTCACCTGGTTCCCCTTCCAGACCTAAATGAGGCGGAGACAGTTGTGGAGATCTTCCCAGTTAAAGTCTTATGCTGAACTTGGAGGACTTTGGGGAGGCAGTATGGGGCAGTGGTCATCAGTGTGGACTTGCCGGTCTCGACCATGAGCTGCCTGTGTGACCTTGAGAAGCTTCTTCACCTCCCCATACTTCATCTGCGTTGTGGAAATAGGATCGTTCCTGATAGCCTCGTGAGAGTGTTCCAACGGTTCTTGAAGTTGTGTCTGTGGCATGCCTGGTGCTGGGCCTGTTACACAGGGTTGGATGTCTGTGCTTCCCTCCTGGGTCCTGCAGAGACTGGAAGGGGCGAGTGATTCTAGATATCTTTTAGATACTGCTTGGATTGAGTGTCTCAGAAGAAGGAAGGCGGAAACACATGTCCATTCAATAGGGCAAAATGCATTCATTTCTCTTAGTTTTGGGAATTATCTTCCTGGAGCCAGATTCACCAAGTCTTGCCTGTTTGTGCCGAATCATCTCCCTCTCTTCTGTTCTCCGAGCCCTGCTCAGGCCTCCTTTCTCCTCTTCTGCTATTCCATGGTCCAGCCTCCTTCCTGGGCTCCTGCCTTCATTCTCATCCCTCTGGTTCATCCCTCATCCAGGCTCCAGAAAGATTCTGGAATCCCACCATGTTCCTTCCCTGCTCACACACCCTCCAAGGCTGTCCTGAGAAACTCCTAACTCCTCAGCTGGAGGTCAAGTCCCTTTAGACCCTAACCCTCACCCTCCTCACCTGTTCCACTGTCTCTGTCTATTTTCATAGAATGACTTCCTGTTCCATGAACAAGTTCTGACTTTCCACCTCCGTGGCCTTTGCCAAAACTGCCCTCTGCCCAGAATATCTTTTCCTGTCAGGTGAACTTCTACTCATTTGCCATGCCCCATATCCAGCCTTACTCCAGGAAGCCCTCTGGCATGATGGTGGTCCTGAAAGTGGTGGCCAGGCCCTGCTGCCATGGGTGGTAGGCTGGGGCCAGCTCTGAAGTTCAACCTTGACCCCATGGGCCCATCCTGGGGCCGAGAGATCTGGATGATGCCATAGTCTCCCTTGGCTGTGGACAGGCTCAGGGCTGAACTTGATCCAGACGGAGAGGCAGAAACCAGAGAAGAGTCATTCATTCATTCATTCATTCTGCAATTGCTGGACCCTGCCATTCACCAGGCACTGGGTTAGGTCTTTTGTATTTGGGCTCTCCCAGTTCTCATAGCTTATGAAATAGGCATGGACCTGCCCTATAATTTGGATTTGATCTTTGGGGCTCGAAGAGGTCAAGTGATTTGCCCAAGATCACACAGCTGCTGAGGATGGGTTTGAGCTCAGATCCACCTGATGCTGAGCCTGAAGAGCTCTGCCTCATAGAGCATGTTGTTTAAGAGCAGGTGTTTTGGAGCTTGGGGGGCCTGGGTTCAAATCCTGGCTTCACCACTGTGGCAGGTGATGCCACTGTCTGTTCACATCCTCTCGGCCCATTTTTGGCTGCAAGGGGCTGACTGGCCTGTGTTCCAGGGCTTTCTCTAGCAGCTGTAACCCACTCTGCCTGGGTGGATTGTTAGCTTGTGAATTAATGCCCCAGGATAGCCCTTGGTCAGTGACTATGGGACTAAGGGAGCTGGTATAAAAACACCCCTGCCCCCTCACCCTCAAATGGGTTGACCCTGAGGTGGATGTCCTCCCAGAGATCCCCAGTGGGAATCAGCCCCAGTTGCCCATGGGGATAATTCCCTTGACGACTCTTTACTGGCTGCCTTTTCTGTCTTAATCTCACTTCCCCTCTCCTTTGGGGGATTACCCTCCCAAGTAAACTGCTTGCCCTAGAACTCTTGTTTTGGTTTCTGCTTCTAGGGGAGCCCAAACGAAGACAGTCCCTTACTCACCTGTAACTTAACACAAGTCATTTGACCCTACTGAGTAAAGTAAAATGGGGAAAATAGTAGCAACTACGTCATAGGGTTTTTGTGTGGGTTGAACATATGAATATATGAAAAGTGCCCATGGAAGTGCCCAACACTGCAAGCACGTGTATGTGTTAAAGAGAACAATACCAGTAATGTTTTATTACAAACAGAAATACTCGATAAATGGCAATCATTATCATTATTGTATTTACTGTTACTGGTTTTATTTCTTGAGCACCAGCTGTGTCGGTGCTAGGACTCTAGCCCTGTGCTAGGACTCTTTCATTTTGCTATTTCATAAATCATCTCAATTGTCCTCAGAAGGGGGGTTGATTTCCCCCCCCCAGTTTTCAGATGAGGGAATGGAGGCTCATCTATGTGCAGCTCACTGCCTACAATCACACAGCCCTTCCTGGCTTCTTTTGAGGTCAGAGGAAGTGGTAGGAGGGAAGGGCCAGGGGAAACAGGGCTGGGTACCATCTCACTACCTTTCTCTACCACCACCTGCAGTATCTGCCAAATGAGAGAGGCCTCCAAGATGAGAAGAAGGTGTTGGACGACATGCACCACGTGGTCCTCGTGTGGCTAGGACCTATCCTGCCACTAGTGGTTCTGGTGCACCCTGACTACATCAAGCCCCTGGTGGGTGCCTCAGGTAGGTGGGCTGGGCCTCTGATTGATGAGTAAACCCTCAACTCCCAGAGCCTACCTGGGTTTCTAGGCAGGTGGGCTATCTAGCAGAAAGGCCATTTGAGTAGGGCTTTGAAGTATGAATAGCAGTTTACCAGAGCCGACTCAGCAATCCAGATAATGAGAACAGCAAGGGAGAAGAGGTGACAATGTCTACAAGTCCCAGGAACTTTGACAGGATGTTCACTTCTCAAAGTCAGAGCAAACATGTTTAGATAGGCGGTTGTTTGCCCAAGCTTTTCTTAAATGGCTGTTGCTTAATTTTAAGCCACGACACTCCCATCACTTGGGTTCTGACACTCCCACTGAGGCTATCCAAATCTTCAGCCTGTCCTGTTAACCTTGGCTGACTGGTGGAGAGGGAAAAGTAGAAAGATTGCCTCTCCCTTCTGCATTCCACATCTATCCCGGGGTGTATGATTCCCAAGTGTTCCTGGGGAGCTCTTGCTCAGCCTTCATCATGCAGCTTGAATGACCGCCTCCTCCTGGAAACCTCCCTTGATTCCCCACACAGACCATAGCTCTTTCCTCTGAACTCTCCCATTCTCATTCCTACCCATTTAGGGCTGAATTTGCCAGTGTCCAGCCTTGTATCTTCCTCATAAGTGAGTCTCTAGGCCCTCAGGGTGGCCTCACATGTACCCGGGCATCTCCAGAGGCATCAGGGGGTGTTTGAGAGAGGAGGGATGGGGAATAAAGAGCTCCAGGAATTTTAGGACCTCTGGCTTCAGCTTCGGCCTCTGCAAACACACTCCTGGAGACCGCCTTCAAGGTGGCCTCCTGGAGCCATGAAGGCGAAAGGGGCTGTCATTCTTCTCTTCTCAGCTCTGCCTTTCTGCTGCCTCAGTGTTCACCACTGTTGCCTGCATAAGGGAATGTGCTCAATCGCTCAGTCGTGTCTGACTCTTTGCAACTCCATGGACTGTAGCCCACCAGGGTCCTCTGTCCATGGGGTTTCCCAGGCGAGAATACTGGAGTGGGTTGCCATTTCCTCTTCCAGGGGATCAAACCCACATCTCCTGCATTGACAGGTGGGTTATTTACCCCTGCACCACCTGAGAAGCCTCTTGTAGGGGAATAACCATCCCCATAGAATGAAGAGGGAAACCCAGATCCTGGGGGGTGGTGACACTTCCAAGAGATGAACACCAGGTTGTGAAAAAGAGGTCTGGACCAGGAATTGGGTGGGTTGAGTTTGAATCCAGGATGGAGCACGTTTGTGCTGTGTGACCCAGCGATTTATTTAGCTTCTCAGGGCTTCAGCTTCTGATCTATTAAATGGGGCAACTGTGAAGACTCACTGAGATAGTGTTGGATAGTTGCTAAATAAGGCTTTCTTCTCTTCTGACTTAAAAAATTTTTATTTTAATTGGAGGATAATTGTTGTACAATATTGTGTTGGTTTCTGCCATAAATCAACATGAATCTGCCTTTTAAATCTTTTTTTCCCCTTTCTTTCCCACTCCCCCTCCCTATCACCTCAGAGCATCTGTTTTCTGAATGTCATCCTGCATGATTGTGAGACTCCCCCCCCACCCTGCAAGTAGACCAAGAAGTAGAACCCCCATCATAAGCTTAGCACTTTATGGGACTTTCCCAGAGGTCCAGTGGTTAAGACTTCACCTTTTGATGCAGGGGGTGTGGTTTCAATCCCTAGTCAGGGAACTAAGGTTCCACATGCAGTGGAGAGCAGCCAAAAATAAACAAAGGAAAAAGTAAGCTTAGCATTTTACTGGATGATCAGGTCTCTTCCCTTCCTCTCCCTTCTCCCCTCTCAGGACTGGCAGGAAATCCATTGCCTCCCATACAGGCGGAGTGAGATGGGAGACTGCAGCTCAGGGAGGGTGGGGCTGTGAGTCAGAAGAAGCAGCCTGGAGTCAGGTCTCCTGGCCCCGGGGTGTCCGGGCCCCCCTTTGCCTGCCTATCTCATATTAGACAGGCCTGGCCCCAAGTCTCAGATTCCAATGTCTAGGGACCACTTCTGGGGGGGGTGGTGGTGGAGTGGGACCACATCTGGGGGGTTGGAGAGGGGCTTGCTCTTCTGGGCTTAAACCCGCACAGCTGATGGACTCTGGGAAAGGCGTGGTTCCTCCTTGAAACTCTGTTTCTTTATCTTCCAAGAGATGTTTGCGACAGAGAGAGAAGGTAGGTAAAAATGCTTCCTAGAATGACAAAGCAGGATATATAGCCATATAATTGTAGCTTTGTTTTTATATACTCATTTTAAAAATTGAGCTGAAATCACATACTGGATAATTACTTATTTTAAAGTGGAAGGTGTTTAGTGAGTTCATAGTTGTGCAACCTTCCTCCCTCCCTAGTTTCAAAACCTTTTCATCACCCCATAAAACACTCCATAGCCATGAAGTTTTCATCTCTCATTCCTTTCTCTTTTTGACCACTGGTAAATACTTTCTGTCCCCATGGACTTTCTCTTCTGGCTATATCATAAGGAAGGAGTTATACAACATGTGGTCTTTTGCAACTGACTTCTTTTATGCCGAATAATGTTTTTGAGGTTCAGCCACACTGTAGCAATGACTAGGACTTCATTCCTTTTTAAAGACTGAATAATATTTCATTTATGGATATATGGATATACCACATTTGTTTATCCATTCATCTGCTTATAAACATTTGGGTTGCTTCTGCCTTTTGACTGTTATGAATAAGGGTGCTGTGAACATGTGTGTATGAGTTTTGGACATATGTTTTCATTTCTCTTGGGCAGATACCTAGCTGTAGAATTGTGGGGTCATGTGGGGCTGCCCAAGTGACTCAGTGGAGGATCCACCTGCCAATGCAGGAGACACAGGAGACATGGGTTTAATCCCTGGGTCAGGAAGATCCCCTGAAGAAGGAAGTGGCAACCCACTCCAGTATTCTTGTCTGGAAATCCCACGGACAGAGGAGCCCGGGGGGTTACAGACCATGGGGTCACAAAGAGTCAGGCACAACTGAGCACACAGGTATGCCTATGGGAATTCTCTGTTTAACTTTTCAGGGAGCCACCAGACTATTTCCCATGGTTTCTATGTGTTCATTTTCCCCTATTAGGGTCCTCCTGTGAGCTGGGGACTGAGATTTTTCATCTCACAAATTCTTGATACTATAATTCTTGATACTATAATTATTCTGAAGAATAATTATAGTCACAGTAGTAACCCAGGTGGCTCAATAGTAAAGGATCCACCTGCCAATTCAGGAGACACAGGAGACATGGGTTCAAACCCTGGGTCAGGAAGATACCCTGAGGGTGAAAATGGCAACCCACTCTAGTATTCTTGCCTGGGAAATCTCATGGACAGAGGAGCCTGGTGGTCTATGTCCATGGAGTTACAAAGAGTAACATAACTGAGCATACACACACAGTAAAAATAGCCATGCATGTTAAATTGCTTCAGTCATGTCCAACTCTTTAAGACCCCATAGACTGTAGCCCATCAGGCTTCTCTGTCCATGGGATTTCCCAGGCAAGAATACTGGAGTGGGTTGCCATTTCCTTCTCCATGAAAAGTAGCCAACAGTTGGTTAATTCATTTATATGCAGAAATATTTAACGAGCACCTACTGAACGCCAGAAAATCCCACGGACAGAGGAGCCCGGGGGGTTACAGACCATGGGGTCACAAAGAGTCAGGCACAACTGAGCACACAGGTATGCCTATGGGAATTCTCTGTTTAACTTTTCAGGGAGCCACCAGACTATTTCCCATGGTTTCTATGTGTTCATTTTCCCCTATTAGGGTCCTCCTGTGAGCTGGGGACTGAGATTTTTCATCTCACAAATTCTTGATACCACTGAAGAATAATTATAGTCACAGTAGTAACCCAGGTGGCTCAATAGTAAAGGATCCACCTGCCAATTCAGGAGACACAGGAGACATGGGTTCAAACCCTGGGTCAGGAAGATACCCTGAGGGTGAAAATGGCAACCCACTCTAGTATTCTTGCCTGGGAAATCTCATGGACAGAGGAGCCTGGTGGTCTATGTCCATGGAGTTACAAAGAGTCGGACATAACTGAGCAACTGAGCATACACACACAGTAAAAATAGCCATGCATGTTAAATTGCTTCAGTCATGTCCAACTCTTTAAGACCCCATAGACTGTAGCCCATCAGGCTTCTCTGTCCATGGGATTTCCCAGGCAAGAATACTGGAGTGGGTTGCCATTTCCTTCTCCATGAAAAGTAGCCAACAGTTGGTTAATTCATTTATATGCAGAAATATTTAACGAGCACCTACTGAACGCCAGAAGTGCTAATTCATTGAGTTTTTGTAGGATTGCCATGAGGCAGGCACGACTGCTCTATTTTCTTGCCCAAGTTTACACAGCCAGTCAGTGGTAGGCCTGGGATTTGAACCTGGCCATCCCAGAGGCTGAAGTCTCAACCACAGTAATATGCAGCTTCCTACTGGGCACCTTGTGGGAGCTTTTCTTATATGACCTCCTCCAGGGTAGACATTACCATCTCCTTGAAAAAAGTGAGGGAAAAGTGATGGGACAGGTAGACTGGACTCAGCCCCTCTGGCATCAACTGGTCAGGGTTGGATTTGGGGAAGGATCTGAGGACGGCAGAGCAAAGGTTCAGGGGGGAGAAGATCTGGAGAAGGTTTCCTGGAGGAGGCATCAGTGAAAGTGGGCTTTGAAGGATGCGTAGGAGTTTGCCTGATGAGAGGTCCCAGGTAGAGGGTCCCAAGTGCAAAAGTGTGAAAGTGTCAGGGAAACTCAGGTGACTTGGGGGTGTGTGGAGTGAAGATGATGTGTAGGGAGAAGTAGGAAATGAGACCGGAGCTGGACTCAGAGCACCAGTGTACAAAGTGAAGGAACTCGTGTTTTATCCCGGGGGTGTTACGAAGCCATGGGAAGTGTTTGAGCAGGACAGCCATTATACAGGTTCATGTGTCAGAAAGAGCCCTAAAGGGCCTAGCCTGGAGTCCAGAGAGGAGAGACTAGACGCCCACCTCCCCCTCCAAAGCTGCCTCTTCCCAGAAGTCTGCCTTGACTTCTAGCAGCCCTTTTTGTGCCTCCCTCTGCTCTTGGCATCCATTCTACCTGCTTGCTAATTACATGGTGTGCCTCTGCTTCCCTTTTCTACCACACCCAGAGATCCACCAGGCAGGGCGTGGAGCTGAGCCATCTCTGGGTCCTCAGCATCGCTCATCATGGGTTGGGCACAGAAGGGTGGTGGAAGAGGTGTGTTGAATGGGAGAATGAGTGGACAGGTGGTTGTGCATTGGCCAATTCTTAGGGAGTGTGTGTGTAGGTGGCTGAGTAATATCTCAGGTAAAAGTGACATCACTTGAGTTTCAGGTACTTCCTTCCTGCTCCCTGCCCATTCTGTTCCAATTCTATTCAGCACATAGAAAGGGAATTCACTCACTCCATCCACCTGTCCATCCAATGATCCATCCACCCATCCATCCACCCACCCATCCATCCAATGATCCATCCATTCATCCATCCAACCATTGATAGTTTTCATTCATTCGTCCTTTGATTGGCTAATTCATTCATACAAGAAAAGTTTATTTAGCGCCAATATACTAGTGATCAACAAGGTCCCTCCCCTCAAGGAACTTGTAACTGATAGATACAATTCAGAGCAACTGATGGGAGAGGGAATGGCATCCAAGTGGAGACAGGAAGAATGAGGAAAGAGTTTTTGAGGCAGAGAGGGTGCCTGGTGGAAAGACTCAGAACCAAGACAGAACATAGTTTTTCAAGAAGCTGAGAAAAGTTCTGTGATGTTAGCAAGTGGAGTGTGTGTGGGGCAAGGGATGGTTGAGGTGGAGGGCAGAGGTATTCTGAGAGTGGTGTGGACTGGGATAGGTCATTCAGAGCTTTGGAAATGGACTGAGCAGCTGTGTTTGAGACTGATGGGTGTGTGGGCAGGAAGGGACGTGGTCAGATCTAGAGTCAGATAAGATCCCTCTGGATCTAGGGTGCAGGACAGACTGGACAGGGAGAGGCTGGAGGCTGGGATCACAGGAGGTATATTTCAGATGGGCTGAGTTGGCAGAAAAGAAGGGGTGAATTAGGGGAAGAATCAGGTGAAGAAAGCCATTCTGGAGAGAGTGCACAGTCTGGGCAAAGGTTTGGAAGTGAGGGTCAGCTTGTGGGGTTATTTGGCATTTGCTGAAGAATGAAAGGGAGAGGAATATGGCAGCCAGATGGGGCCGGGCCTTCAGTGCTAGCCTGAGCTTGAAATGTTTTACAAGGGCAACAGGGAGCCATGGGAGGTGTTTGAGCGGGGGGGGGGGCGCAGTGCTCATGTTCGGATCAGGGTGTTATAAGAATCTCCCTGGGGCTGGTGTGGAGGGTTGGACTGGAGGGGTGAGGTGGGAGGTGAGAGGCTAGAGTGGAGGCCCAAGCAGGTCATAAGCAGAGGTCAAGGGTCAGAACCTTGTTTTGAAGCGTCGTCACCTCTTTTCTCCCCACAGCTGCTGTTGCCCCCAAGGATGACCTTTTCTATGGCTTCCTGAGACCTTGGCTGGGTAAGCGTGGGACTGGGTAGGCTGGAGCTGGGGCTTCAGGGAAGAAAGAGGACGCGGGGCCTGAGGTTTCTCGGGGAGGTCCTTAGCCTCAGTCTCCTGGGCATAGGGGATGGGCTGCTGATCAGCCGAGGTGAGAAGTGGAGCCGGCACCGCCGCCTGCTGACACCTGCCTTCCACTTCGACATCCTGAAGCCTTACATGAAGATCTTCAACCAGTGCACGGATACCATGCATGTGAGTCCTGAGGTTTCTTGGGAAGAGGATATTTGGAAGTGGGGCTGGTCTGGACTCCAGCTTGTGGGCAAGTCATGAGACGTCAGGAAGCCTTACTTCTTTTTTTTTTAAAAAAAAAAAACAAAAAAACTATTTCCTTATTTTTGGCTGTGTCGGGTCTTCATTGCTGCTTCACTGGGCTTTTCTCTGGGTGTGGAGAGCAGGGGCTATCTCCAGTTGCAGTGCGTGGGCTCCTCGGGGGGGCTTCTCTTGTTTCTGAGGACAGGCTCTGTGGGCTTCGGCGATCGTGGCGCGTGGGCTCAGTCGTTGCGTGTCCTGGCCTCTAGAGCACAGGCTCAACAGTTGTGGTGCACAGGCTTAGCTTCTCTGAGGCATGCGGGATCTTCCTGGACCGGAGATTGAACCCACATCTCCTGCATCGGCAGGTGGATTCTTTACCACTGAGCCACCAGGGAAGCCCTCACTTCCTTTACTTATGAAGTGGGCTTGTGGTGAGCTTGCAACTGGGTTATTATCAGCCGGGCTGAAAGGCTGTGGTCGCCATGACCATTTGTCATGTGTCTTTGTCTTCCAGGCTAAATGGCGGCGCCTGGCAGAGGGCTCGGAGGTCTCCCTTGACATGTTTGAGCATGTCAGCCTCATGACCCTGGACAGTCTTCAGAAATGTGTCTTCAGCTACAACAGCAACTGCCAGGAGTGAGTATGGCCTCCCTAGGGAACATAGAGCCAGCTGCTGCAGGGGCAAGGTGACGAGAGGAGAAAGAAAACTCTTAGCTTTTAGGCATTCCTAGGCTGTTGCTGCTCTGCCAATGACAGGCTGTGTGGTTCTGGGAAACTGACATCACCTCTCTGAGCCTGCTTCCTTATCCCCAAAATGCACATCTCCATCTGGTCCTCACAGTCATCGTAGGGGAATTAAATGAGATAATATGAGTCAATGGCTTGGCACACAGTAGATGCTCGGTGAGTGCTAAGTTTCATTCATTCTTCCATGAAAAGTATGCAGTCTTTGGAAAGAGTCCCTCCCCACACTTTCTGAGCCTCAGTTTTCTGTTTGTAAAATAAGAATGACAGTCCCTGACCTGAGAGATGCTTAAAGGTTAAAATGACGTAGCACTGCCCTGGCACCCAGTAGATGATGAGTGGATATTTGTTGAGTGAATAAGTAAAATGACTATTGCCCTGGTTCATTCATTCATTCACCAAATGTTTGCTGTGCCCCCTACTACGTGCCTGGCACTATGCTAGCTATGGGGGATATGGTGATGAGCACTAACTCTCAGTTCTTTGGAGCTTCTAGTCTAAGTGGGGATATAAGGAATAAGGGACACAATGACTGTCAAGTTTATAGCACATAGTAGGTCCTCAACAACAAGCTGCTGACTATGTTACTCTGGGCCTTGTAGTGGTATTGTTTCAGTTAGGTAAGGTGGAGATGGCCTTCATAATTAATTCATTAGTTGATCCAAAAAATATATATTGAGTGCCTGCTATGTCCCAGCTCTAGAGCAGAACACAGTGGTCAACAACACAGACAAGGAACTTACATTTTAGTGGGAAGAAGGGCAGTTACCATGAACAAATAAACAAGAAAACGGCAGTTGGTGGTAAATGCATGAAAACAACAAGCACACTTAAGAACTGAGGACAGCTCTTGGCAGCTCTGCCCTTTGCAATTTAGTTTTTCTTTTTTTCAAAATAACAGCTCTACTGAGATGTAGTTGATAGACCACACAATTTACCCGTTTAAATTATACAACCAATGGCTTTTAGTCTACTCACAGAATTGTGCACCCATCACCATAATTGATTTTAGAATATTTTCACTGAGAAGAAACCCTGTATCATTGTATTATTCTTTCATCCCCCACTTCCCACTTGCCCTCCAGACCTAGGCAATTACTAATCTTCCTTATGTCTCTGTAGATTTGTCTTTTATAGAAATTTCATGTAGATTTCCATAAAATTCATGTAGACACATAATTTCATGTCTGATTTCTTTTAGTCAATATATTGTTTCCAGATTCACCCATGTTGCAGTTGAATTATCAATAATTAATTTTAAAAATTGTTGAATAACATTCCATTTACCATATAATGTGGCTCAGTGGTAAAGAATCCATCTTCAGTGCAGGAAATACAGAAGATGTGGGTTCGATTCCTGGGTCAGGAAGATCCTCTGGAGAAGGAAATGGCAACCCACTCTAATATTCTTGCCTGGAAAATCCCAAGGACAGACAAGCCTGGCAAGGTGTAGTCCATGGGGCTGCAAAGAGTCAGATACGACTGAGCAGTTAAATGGCAGTACCATATAACAACACGTTTTGCTTATCCAAGCATCTGTTCAAAGACATTAGGGTTATTTCCATTTTGGGGCTATTATGAACAATGCTGCTATAAATATTTTTGTACAAGTTTCTGTGTGAATATTTTAAATTCTCTTGGGTACATACCTAATCACAGAATTACTGGTCTTTATGATAATTCTTTGTTTAATCTTTTTTGGAACTGCCTAACTTTTCCCCAAAATTGGTTGCAGCATTTTACATTCCTACCAGCACTATGTGCAGGCTCCAGTCTCTCTACACCCTCAGCAACACTTGTTATTATCTATCTTTTTAATTAATGCCATCCAAGTTGGTGTTAAGTGGTATTTCATTGTAGTTTTAATTTGCATTTCCCTAATGGATATGTGTTGGAGAAGACTCTTGAGAGTCCCCTGGACTGCAAGGAGATCCAACCAGTCCATCCTAAAGGAGGTCAGTCCTGGGTGTTCATTGGAAGGACTGATGCTGAGGCTGAAACTCCAATACTTTGGCCACCTGACGCGAAGAGCTGACTCATTTGAAAGGACCCTGATGCTGGGAAAGATTGAGGGCAGGAGGAAAAGGGGACGACAGAGGATGAGATGGTTGGATGGCATCACCGACTCGATGGACATGGGTTTGGGTGGACTCTGGGAGCTGGTGATGGATAGGGAGGCCTGGCGTGCTGCGGCTCATGGTGTCGCAAAGAGCTGGACACAACTGAGCAAATGAACTGAACTGACCTGAATGGATAATGGTTAATTTCCCTGATGGCTAGATAGCATCACCAACTCAATGGACATGAATTTGAGCAAACTCCAGGAGACAGCGAAGCCTGGAGTGCTGCAGTCCACAGAGTCAGAAAGAGTCAGACACAACTTATCAACTGAAAACAACAGTAATGGCTAATACCATTACACATCTTTTCATGTGCTTATGGGTCAGCTGTATGTCTTCTTTGGAGAAATATCTTTTCATACTCCTTGCCCATTTTAAAGTTGGGTTATTTGTCTTTTTTATTACTGAGTTTTTATTTATTTGGCTGTGCCAGGTCTAAGTCAAAGCAAACAGGATCTTTGGTCTTCATTGTGGCATGCAGAACCTTTTAGTCGTGACATGTGAACTCTTAGTCATGGCATGTGGGAGCCAGTTCCCCAACAAGAAATCAAACCTGAGCCTCCTGCAATGGGAGGGCAGAGTCTTAGCCATGGGACCACAGGGAAGTCCTTATTATTGACTTTTTAAGAGTGCTTTGCATATTTTAGATACAAGCTCCTCATCAGATACATGATTTGCAAACATTTTCTCCCACACTGTGGATTGTAGACATTTAAATTTAGTGATGCTTCATTTATATGGAAGTCATCATCTCTCTTTGGGCCTGTTTTAAAATGTGCCTAGAATTTAGTTTTGTTCAGGTTATGGTGAGGACTACAGATGAGGAAGCGATTGCCATTGAAAAGATAGTTTGTTACTTACAATTTCCAAGATGGGGGTGGTGGTGTGCCACAAGACACAAGGCTACCCGGAGAAGCACCAGGAGGGATCATGGCAGAGACATTGTCAGGGGGCCTTCTATGGGAAGGAATGGGAAAGGCAGGGTATGCAGGCTTAGGACTGGGTGTTTTTTTTTTTTTTCTAAGTTTTTTAAAAGTTTGTTTATCGGTGAGACGAGCCTTTGATGTGGGCTCTTGGTTACTGCGTGTGGGCTTGCTTTAGTTGCCGTGAGCAGAAGCCACTCTCTTCTGAGTTGCTGCGGTGTGTAGGCTTCTCATCAAGGTGTGTTTTCTTGTTGCAGCTCACAGGCTCTAGACAGCAGGCTTCAGTAGTTGTGGCACAGGCCCTTAGTTGCCCTGAGGCATGTAGGATCTTAGTTCCTGGGCCAGAGATCCAACCTGTGTCCCCTGCATTGGCAGGCAAATTCTTAACCACTGAACCACCAGGGAAGTCCTAGGGTTGGATAGTTTGAATAATTTAACCTGGCTCTGGGGCAGAGAGGTGCCCCAAGTTATCCAGTGCCTGGCCCTGGGATAATTAAGGTAGGGGTATAGTGGTTTAGCCCAATAATGTTTGGAGGATGGACCCTGGATTGGTTGGTTTGCAAAAGAAGGGCATGCTCCTGGTGAGTCATTTGCTGCCTCTAAGGAACAGCTAGTCCTGGGAGGGTTGGTATCTGTCCAGTCAGTGAGGCTCCAGATGGAAGGACATCCAGAATACAAGGAAATGGACTTTCCTGGTGGTCCAGAGGTTAAGAGTCCACCTGCCAATGCAGGGGTTCAATCTCTGGTCTGGAAATGAAGACCCCCACAGGCCTTGGAGCAACAAAGCCTCTGTGCTACAACTACTGAGCTTGTGGGCCTAGAGCCTGTTCTCTGCAACAAGAGAAGCCACTACAGTGAGAAGCCTGTGCACTTCAATGAAGAGTAGCTCCCTGCTTGTCACAATTAGACAAAGTCTGCATGCAGCACTTAAGACCTAGTGCAGGCAAACAAACATACAAACAAGGAAATAAGAAAATAAAATTAATTCAGGGCTGCTCTTTGTCACCTGGGAACTTCCCAGGTGACTCAGTGGTAAAGAACCCATCTGCCAATGCAGGAGACATGGGTTCGATCCCTGAGTTGGGAAGATCTCCCAGAGAAGGAAATGGCAACCCACTCCAGTACTCTTGCCTGGAGAATCCCATGGACAGATGAGCCCATGAGGTCACAAAAAGCCGGACACAACTTAGCAACTGAACAACAACTCCGTCACCTGCCCATTGAGAGAGGGAGCTTGTCTGAGGGCCTATGCTCAGGTCCCTTTTTCTCCCTGGCAGGAAGATGAGTGATTACATCTCGGCCATCATTGAGCTGAGTGCCCTGGTGGTCCGGCGCCAGTACCGCGTGCATCACTACCTCGATTTCATCTACTACCGCACGGCTGACGGGCGGCGCTTCCGGCAGGCCTGCGACATCGTGCACAGCTTCACCACAGAGGTCATCCAGGAGCGGAGGCGGGCGCTACGCCAGCAGGGGGCTGAGGCCTGGTTTCAGGCCAGGCAGGGAAAGACATTGGACTTCATTGACGTGCTGCTCTTGGCCAAGGTGAGACGGGGACCCTGGAGGGTGGGCTCTTGCTTGGGACAGTTTCCTCTTGAGTTGCCACAACTGTGGAAAATCCAAACTAAGGTGGATCTCAGGTGGCGTTAGTGGTAAAACATCTGCCTGCAGCGCAGGAGATGCAAGAGACACAGGATCGATTCCTGAGTCAGGAAGATCCCCTTGAGAAGGAAATGGCAGCTCACTCCAGTATTCTTGCCTGGGACATCCCATGGACAGAGGAACCTGGCGGGCTATAGTCCATGGGGTCGCAAAGAGTCGGGTGTGACCGAGTGCACACACATACAATGTGGATCTAGAAAGTAAGCAGATGTAGGACATGTGAGACTGTATTCATTTGCTAGATCTGCAATGGGGTTTCCCAGGTGGTGCAGAGGTAAAGAATCTGCCTGCCAGTGCAGGAGACGCAAGAGATGCAGGTTTGATCCTTGGTTTGGGAAGATCCCTTGGAGAAGGGAATAGCTACTCTCTCCAGTATTCTTGCCTGGAAAATTCCATGGATAGAGGAGTGGTGGGGTACAGCCCATAGGGTTGCAAATAGTCAGACACAACTGAGCAACTGAGCACAGATTTGCTATAAAAAAAGCACCATTGACACTGGGTGGTTTATTTATTTACTTATAGTATTTAAAGTGTTATTTATTTTTTTGGCTGATCTTTGTTGCTGTGTGCGGGCTTTCTCTAGTTGTGGTGAGTAGGGGCTACTCTTCATTGCCACGCACAGGCTTCTCCTTGCGGTGGCTTCACTTGCCGCAGAGCACAGGCTCTAAGTGGGAGGGCTTCAGCAGTAGCTGCCTGTGGGCTCAGTAGTTTTGGCACACGGGCTTAGCTGATCCAGAGCATGTGGGATCTTCCAGGAACAGGGATTGAATTGTCCCCTAACTGGCAGGTAGATGCATAGCCAATGGACCACCAGGGAAGTCCCAACACTGGGAGGTTAAATGGCAGAAGTCAGCCTTCTCAGTCTGGAGGTTAGGACTCTTGAGATCACAGTCATGGCAGGGTTGGTTTCTTCTGAGGCCTGTCTCCTTGGCTTGGAGCTGGCTGTCTTCACCTGTGTCTTCACATGGTCTCTCCTCTGTATGTGTCTGTCCTCAGCTCTTCTTCTTATAAGGACACCAGTCACACTGGATTAAGGCCCACACTAATGACCTCATTGTAACTTAATTACCTCTGCAAAAGCCTTATCTCCAGATAAGGTTACATTTTGCAGTTAGGATTTTAACTCAGGGATTCTGGAGTGGGGGTGAGGCGGGGGAACACAATTCGGCCCATGGCACTAACAAAGACCTTGGAGAAATGGGACACTTGCAGAGAGAGGTGGTCACCTATTTGTGATGCTTCTGCAGAGTTTCTGAGCAGCGCCTGGCTTTTGGATTCAGACGGTCCTGGATGCTAGTTCTAGCTCTAGCACTTCATGGATATTTGACCTTAGTCTTCTCGCTGAGCCTCAGTTTCCTTATTTACAACATGACGATCATAAGATCTGATCGTGAGATTTTGTCAGGCCTCTGGCAGGACGCTTGGTGATGGGAACTGCCGAAGAAACGCAAACTCCCTTCTTCCTCTCACTTTTGGCTCTCTTTCCCTCTTTCTTGGACAAGTTGCATATCTCTGTCTGCTTGGGCTTCCCTGATGGTCAGATGGTAAGGAATCCTCCTGCAATGCAGAAGACCTAGGTTCGATCCCTGGGTCAGGAAGATACCCTGGAGAAGGGAATAGCAATCCACTCCAGTATTTTTGCTTGGAGAATTCCATGGACAGAGGAGCCTGGCAGACTACAGTCCATGGGGTGGCAAAGAGTCAAGACATGACTGAGTGGCTAACACACACACACCTGCCTGGAATCCTTTCCCTTGCATCTTAACTTAAGAGAAAGAGGTGGGTGTCTTTAAAAAAAATATATTCATTTATTTACTTATTTATTTATTTGGCTGCGCTGGGTCTTAGTTGCAGCATGTGAGATCTCTTTAAACATTTTATTTATTGATTTTTGGCTGAGCTGGGTCTTTGTTGCTGCTCAGGGTTTCTCAAGTTGCAGCAGCTGGGCGTTCCTCTTCGTTTTGGTGTGTAGGCTTCTCATTGCGGTGGTATCTCTTGTTGCAGAGCATGGGCTCTAGGCATGTGGGCTCAGTAGTTGTGGTACATGGGCTGAGTAGCTCCCCGGCATGTGGGATCTTCTGGGACCAGGGATTGAACCCGTGACACCTGCCTTGGCAGGCATATTCTTAACCACTGGGCCACCAAGGAAGTCCCAAAGTGGGTATCTTAACTTTGGAAGAACTCCTAGGTTGTGGCAGGTGAGACAAAATGAGCTGAGCAGTCTATTGCCCATTCCAGGATGAAGATGGAAAGGAACTCTCAGATGAGGACATCCGAGCTGAGGCAGACACCTTCATGTTTGAGGGTGAGGATGTGGGGTGAGGCTAGGGAAGGATGGGAAAGGGCCCCATTGTCTGAGGACAGCGTCTCTTACCTTCAGGCAGCCTCCATTTAGGCTCCTCATCTGCCTACAGGTCATGACACAACATCTAGTGGGCTATCCTGGGTACTGTTCAACTTGGCCAAGTATCCAGAGTACCAGGAGAAGTGCCGAGAAGAGATCCAGGAAGTCATGAAAGGCCGGGAGCTGGAGGAACTGGAGTGGTCAGTCTCGGGTCCTGGGGATGTTGGGGGCAGGTTGAGTTTAGAGCCTTGAGTATTAATCTCTCTACCACTTACTGTCTAACTAACCTTAGACAAGTCACTTAAACTCCTTGAATTTAAGTTTCTTCAACTGTAAAATGGGGATGACAGTAATGCATAGGCGTTCTTCATAGTGCAGGAATTCTTAGTTGGGAGTGTCTTAGTCAGCAATGGTTGCAATAAGGCTGTGTAACAAACAATTCCCAAGCTCAGTGGTTTGCAGCAAGCATTTATTTGTTGTTCTTGTCTGCACATATTTTTTTGCTCTCATCTACATATTTCTCTTATTACTGCTGAGCTTCACTGAGTTGAATAGGTTTGTTTCGAAGCTGAGGTTTGAATTCAGATCTGTCCTACATGTCTCCTTATTCTCCTTGGACCAGCAGCCATACTGGACATGGTCCTCTCAAGGCAGACTCCAGAAGCACAAAGAATCACACAATTAAAAACCTCTGCTTGCATTGTAACATGCTATTAGCTAAAGCTTATCACTGGGCTGATCCCAACATGAGTGGGGTGGGACATGTACTCCATCCATCCGAGCCGAAGGTACTCAGAATCACATGGTAAAGGGCATGGTGCATAATTCCAATGTAGTGGGGAAGTGTAAGAATCAGGAATAATAATCCAGTTTACTTCAGATGTGCACTGTGTGGAGCTGATTCTGGGTGATACAAAGAAAACACAGCATTATGCAGCATCAAACAACTAGAAAGTTCCTTTTGGTTCATTATCAGTCATTTGGATTATGACCTCAGGGAGACACTTTCAGTTGATGCCATCTTACATTGATGCCGTCTTACCGTTGATGCCATCCTACACCTTGCTAATCCTTGCTAATCTGCCTTGTTAAGGAAAGGAGAAGATGCCCCAGGCTCTGAGAATAGGCAGGAGGTGGTATCTAGCCAGAATTCAATACCCCTCTTCTGTTGTCCCAGTGGTGTTTATATTTATGGATCTCTTTATACCAGGGATGCCATCTGCCCTTTGTGGTAGCAGCATAAAATTTCTTTGAAAGATAATCTGTTAGTGTAGAGAAAACAATCTAGATCAGGAACAGTTATAATTAATCTAATGTTGGGCCCTGAAGTCCAAAGGAAAAAAATTAATATAGTAAAAGGAGATGATGTGTGGGTTTATAAATATGGAAGTTGATCCATTCAGGCTGGTAAATCGCAGCTACTCCAGGTCTCTCTGTTTGTCCTGGCACATCCCCAGGGGTGCCCCCTGACCTCCACACAATTCATCAGTTAGAGAATTAATGCTGGGCTCAATGACATCCAGCCAGCGCTGCTCTGATTGGTCAGGGAGCAGATATTTTATCTGTTGAGGATTAGAGGTGTGTGCAGGACATAACTGCAAATGCCTGAAGTTGGGTGAAGTCTGAAATCCTGGACTGATTTTCTGCAGTTGCTCCTAGTAGCCTATGCACATGTGTGTGTGTCTCTAGGGAAGGCGGTGGCACCATGGCCTGGCCTCTAGTCACCCACTGTTCCGCATTCCCCAGGGACGACCTGACCCAACTGCCCTTCACCACTATGTGCATCAAGGAGAGCCTCCGCCAGTTCCCACCTGTGACCCTGATCTCCCGCCGCTGCACGGAGGACATCAAGCTCCCAGACGGACGCATCATCCCCAAAGGTGCCCCCTTTGTGCTCCCTGTTGCCTGCCTGCTCTGTTGCCTGCGGGGGTCTGGCCATGCCTGTCCCAGGTGCATTATCCTTGTAGGCAATTTATAGCCTGTTGCTTCTGAGGGTGGTGAGGAGATCCAGTTGTGTGTGTGTATCGGAGAGATAGAGGTGGGTGGATCCAAGCAGAAAGGAAGGAGTAGGTATGATGGGGTGGGCCCTGTGAGAGTGTAGGTAGAGAAGGATTGGCTTCATTCTGTTGCCAGATATCCCCTGGAGACTAGGTCCTGTCCTGGGTGAGGCTGGGCATCTAGTGAAGCCTCATCTCCAGGTCCAAGCCTTGAGTACCACCCAGTCTGGGGAAGATACAGCAGGGCACGGATGTTCCCAGTCACATGGGGTGAGGGATGGGCTACAGGGAGGGACGGGGACTGGAGCAGCCCCAGATAAGGAGCGATGACTGTATCTGGCATGGAATGCAGGGAGAGCTGCCTGGAAGAGGGAACATGAGAGGTGAGTCTTGGGAAATGAAAGAGAGAACGTTTATGGAGCAGAGCCTCAGGGTACAGATAATGAAAGAACTTGAATGCATGGTTGAGGTACTTGAACTTGATCCTCGGGGTAACAGGGAGCCACGGGAGGTATCTGAGCTATGGAGGAGCAATGCCAGATGTGTGAGCGAGAAAGATCTTGTGTGGCCAGGATGACAGCTAGGAAGAAGGCTATGGGGACCTCTAATGGAGAAGCAAGGCAGTGGATGGTGAAGCAGAAGTTTTTAAGGAAGGATGGGCAGGAAACGGTGGCAGATGGCTTGTGGGAATTGCGTGGCTCTGGAGAGAGCTGGGGGAGGGGTAGGTCTCCAGAGGAGGTCCTGATTCCCTCATTTCCAATGACCCCACTGACCCTTCCCCTCCCCACAGGAATCATCTGCCTGGTTAGCATCTATGGGACACACTATAACCCTTTAGTGTGGCCTGACTCCAAGGTAAGCTCCTGCCCTAACCCTCCCTTCTCTCATCTTCTTCCTCCTAAGACCTTGATCAGCAAGGCCTCCCCTCTTCTCCTCCCCAAGGAACCAGATGGTAGGGCTGAGTGCAGGGCTTGAGTACTTCCCCCCGCCCCATTTATTCACCCATTCACTGTTAATTTATTATATCTACANTACAGTCACCATCTGCAGTGATTTTGGAGTCCAAGACTGCCAGGGAAACCCCAACAAATCTTTATTGAGCATCTACTGTGTATGGGGCACTGAGGGCCCTCTGGGGCACTCTGTCTTTGCTCTCACAGAGCAGACAGTGAAGTGAGGAGGAAGAAAATAAACAAATAAATAAGATCATTTTGAACTGTGATACATACATAAGGGAAACAAAAACTGACCTGGGTTGGGGGAGAGCAGTTTAGCTCACACAGTGAGGAAAGTCCTTACCAAAGAAGAGATGGTTGAGCTAAAACTGAAAATGTTCACGCTTTAAAGTGTGAGGAGCAGGGAAAACTGTGTCCCATGTGGAGGAAACTGCCAGTGCAAAGGTCCTGTGGTGGAAATGGAAAGGAGGTGGGTGTGGCTGGTCCAGTTGGTCTGGCCCCCAGAGGCTGAGGGAGGGAACCATGCTGGGATGGCCGGAACCAGGCCCCCTTAACTTCCCCCCGCAATCTACTTCTCCCTAGGTGTACAATCCCTATCGCTTTGATCCGGACAACCCACAGCAGCGCTCCCCATTGGCTTATGTGCCCTTTTCTGCAGGACCCAGGTAACTTTTATTTCCCCCAATCCAAGTGAAGTGTAGGAGGAACATCAAGGCCAGTGGAAGGTCAGGGATGTGTCTGTTAGGGGCAGAAACCATTGGGGGTGTCCTGTCCACCAACCTGGTACCCTTTTCGTGCCCTCAATACATCAGGAAGCCTCCAAATCAGACCCTATTATATCATCCAGGGTATCAGATATCTACTCTATGCCAAGCCCTGAGTTCTGGGCTCATGTGCTCTTAATGGCTCTATGATGCCTTTGTCCGTGAGTTGAAGCTCCCAGTGTGTGTTAGTCGTTTAGTCATGTCCAACTCTCTGTGACCCCATGCACTGTAGCGCGCCAGGCTCCTCTGTCCATGGGATTCTCTAGGCAAGAATACTGGAGCGGGTTGCTATGCCCTCCTCCAGGGGAACTTCCTAACCCAGGGATCGAACCCAGATCTCCAGCACTGCAGGCAGATTATTCACTGTCTGAGCTACCCGGGAAACCCTGAGGCTCCGAGGGGGAGGTCATTTCACCCCATCCCGGGGACCCCGCTCACACAGCGGCTGAGCCTGAGGCCCCTGTCCTCCTTCCATCAGGAACTGCATCGGACAGAGCTTCGCCATGGCTGAGATGCGCGTGGCCGTGGCCCTGACGCTGCTGCGCTTCCGCCTGAGCGTGGACCGAACGCGCAAGGTGCGGCGGAAGCCCGAGCTCATTCTGCGCACGGAGAATGGCATCTGGCTCAAGGTGGAGCCGCTGCCTCCGCGGGCCTGAAGGTCGGCGCACCCCTGCTGATCCCGGGGGCCCAAGCCCCGCCCAGAGAGGCCTAGGTCCCGCCCCTGAGGGCCCAGGCCCCACACCTAAGAGCCTGAGGGCATAGACCACGGCCCCCCCGGAGGTCAGGCTCAGCTACTGGAGGACCGGACTCCCCCTGTTAAGCAGCCTGATGGTGCAGGTCACACCCACTCAAGGCAAGGTTCCGCCTCTGGAGGGTCTGATGCCGCCCCTTGATGTCGAGATCCCGCCCCCTTCAGTGCCAGTTTCCGCCCTCTTGTTTGAGGGACCTGGATTGGCCACGTTCCCTCGGGCTCAGGCCCCGCCCCAGCATCTCTCGGATTCCAATGTTCAGGCCCCGCCTACTGAACCTTCCGAGGACCAAGGATAGATACCTTAGGCCTCTAGGCTACAAGCTCAGTCTACCTCAGACCTCGGCTGGCTTTTAAATTGAAGACTTGAAAACTGGAGCCTGAGATCAGAACCCTGAACCCGAACATCATCTTCTTGAGGCCCCCGGCTCATATGGATGAACTCCCGAGCCTGCATCCCAGGGCCCCGGAAGTTTGTTGTTGACTTGTAAACCCAGACTCTCCCTCTCAAGCCCAGGATGTTGTTGACTTGTAAGCCCAGACTCTCCCTCTCAAGCCCCTTCCTTCTTCCCTTGCTCAAAACCCCTTTGGCGAGTGTCCTGAATTTTGTAGAATATAAGCAAAGGATGCAGACAGCTCCCATCACCCACTCCCTAGCCAGATCAGATCCTTACACCTGGATTCCAGCAAGGAATTGAGGAGTCCTGGACAGCTGGGAAGTTGTGGGCTAGGAGGCTGGGAAGTCGTTTGTCTTTGGACATAAACTTGGACTTTTTGAGACAGTTTGTGCATTCGTTTATTTCAACATGTGCATGTGTGCTAAGTTTCGTCAGTGGTGTCCGACTCTTTGCGACCCTATGGACTGTAGCCCGCCAGGCTCCTCTGTCCATGGGATTCTCCAGACAAGAATAACCAGAGTGGATTGCCATGCCCTCCTCCAGGGGATCTTCCCAACCCAGGGATCAAAATCCTTTCGTCCCCTGCATTGGCAGATGGGTTCTTTACCCTTAGTGCCACCCGGAAAGCCCCTTATTTCAACATACTGCTTAGTAAGTGTCCAATGGCACTGGGCTGGGAGCACAACACCAGGCAAATCCCTGCCCTCAGGAGGATAGAGGACATGTGTTGGACAAATAATTCCATGGGTAAATGTATTTACAACCTGTGACAAGTGCTGCAAAAGAGAGGCTTTGGTGCTGGGCAAGCATAGCAGGGGATGGAGGATGGCTCAAGGAGAGCTACTCTGATGCTGAAGCTGGAGTAGAAGTTGAGTGTCGAGAAGGGAGTAAAGTGCATTCCAGGAAGCGAGAACAGCATCTGCAAATGTCCTGGGGTGAGAGTGTGGTGTGCTCATGGAACTCACAAAGAGAGTAGGGTGGCTGGATCTGGGGAGTGGGGCTGGAATGGAGGAAGGGTGGGCAGGGCCCAACAGTGCAGGGTCTTTGGGCTGTGTCACAGTACAGGTTTTATGCAGAAGGTGTGTGTGTATTTGTGTGTGCGTGCTAAGTCGCTTCAGTTGTGTCTGACACTTTGGAACCCCATGGACTGGAGCCGACCAGGCTCCCCTGTCCATGGGATTCTCCAGAATACTGGAGCAGGTTGCCATTTCCTACTCCAGGGGATCTTCCTGACCCAGGGATTGAACCTGAGTCTCTTGTGCCTCCTGCACTGGCAGGCAGATTCTTTACTACTGCACCACCTCCTGTAGAGGTGGGATGATGACAGTGACGACAATAATCATGTTAATTCATTGCGTATTTTTTTGAGCATCTGCTGTGAGCCAGGGAGTGTTTGATTCCTTGCATCACTGACACTTTGGTGGTGGTGGTAGTGGGGGAAACAGATGACAGATGATAAACAAGCAAATAAATAAATTCACACAACCTTGGAGGTCACTGTATGGATTTTGAGTTTCACTGTGACAGAAATCGGGAGCTGTGGAGGGTTCTGAGCAAAAGAGGGACAAGATTTATCTTACAGGGACTTCCATGGTGGTCTAGTGGCTAAGACTGCTCCATGCTTCTAATGCAGGGACACAGGTTTGATCCCTGGTCAGGGAACTAGATAGCATGTACTACAACTAAGAGTTCACAGGTTGCAACTAGAGATTCTGCATGCCACAAAACAGAAGTTTGAAGATTCCACACGCTGCAACTAAGACCTAGAGCAGCCAAATAAATAAACAAATATTAAAAAAATGTTATCTGACAGATGCGGGTTGCTATGTTGAATAGAGACTGTGGTGAGGATGGGATGAGGGAAATCAGATTGGTTCTGGGTGGGGGGGGCGGTGAGGTGGGGTGGTGAGATGATGGTGGCTCTGCCCAAGCTGGGGGCTGTAGAGACGACTAGTGGTGGTTGGATTATGATGAGAAATGATTGTTTCATGATGGTCATACTGGCAGGTCTGCAGATAAATGGAATGTGGGGTTTGGGAGAATGGGACAACACCAGGTTTGGGTCTGTGGTGGTTTAGTCGCCAAGTTGTGTCCTACTCTCTGCGACCCCATGCACTGTAGCCTGCCAGGCTCCTCTGTCCATGGAATTTTCCAGGCAAGAATACTNCTTGTGTGCTCTTCCCAGATATTTTCACTTAATTCTCAAGGGTGCTCTTACTCTCTCTTTTTGGGCTTCCTAGGTGGCTCAGTGGTAAAGAATCTGCCTGCCAAGCAGGAGACGTGGGTTGGATCCCTGGGTCGGAAAGATTCCCCTAGAGGAGGAAACGGCAACCCACTCCAATATTCTTGCCTGGGAAATTTCATGGACAGAGGAGCCTGGCTGACTACAATCCATGGGATCACAAAAGAGTCGCAGGCAATTTAGTAGCTGAGCACATACGCACAATATCGTTTCACGGAGGTGGAAACTTGAGTTCCCCAGAATGAAATGACTCGCCCCGAATCATACAACGATGTCCTTGGGACCTTAGAGGGGGCCCGGAGTCGCTTTCTTCCCCGTGCTTCGGGCTCCTGGTCCTGGAGGGGTCTCTAGCCCCTCTTTGCCTGGAAAGGAGTGTGCTAGGGAATGGGGTGGGGTTGGGGGCATGGAGGAGCAGAGGCAAACCTGGCAAGCAGATCCTGGGGCGCCCTCAGGTGGCGTAAAGTGGGGTCATCGATCGGAATCCCGTTTCAGAGGCTCCTCGCAGTCTAAGTGGGGGAACTCGAGATTCCCGGCCTTGCAGCGGTCACTCGGCTTTGATGGTGCTCCGTCTTCCACATCCTTGTTCAGGTTGAGGGTCTCCAGGCACACATCATTCCCTAAATATCGCAGCGGCATCTTTCGCCCCACCCTTTCCCTTGCAACCTTGTCATCCGCCGGCAAAAATAACTTGGCCTTGGGAGGCAAGAGGTGTGGGTTCAAACCCCGGCTCTGCCCGCTCCTAGCGGTGGGCTTCGGCGCAGGACTGCCCCTCTCTGCTGCTCCGTTCCTCTCTTATCGTGTGGATTTTACAGGCTCATCATCCTTGTAATTAATGCAGATTGACTTTCCGCTAAGGGCTGTGGATGGTGAATGAAAGAGACAAGGAGGAGGGAAAAGAGACCAGGTCCCTGAGACGCAGGTGCACCTGTGTGTGAAATTCTTAAGGCCTGGTGCTGTCACTAGTTGCTTTTAGCGCTCTTTCCTCTCCTGAGTGTGTCGGAGGCTCCCTCCGCTGGACGGTTCGGGAACAACAGGCTCTAAGGCGTCTGGTCTCCACCAGTTTAGTGTGTGAGCGTGAGTGCACGCGAGGTCGTGTGTGACTTGGTATGTTAGGGCGCATTTGAGTGAATATGCGAGTATCCATGTGACTGTGTGCAAGTATGTGAGTGTGTGTACGTGTGTAAGAGTCAAAATGTGTGCACAGTGTGTGATTGTGTGCTGTGTGGGATTGTGGGTGCATGCATCCATGTGTGTGGATGGGTGTGTTGGGAATGACTGCAACTGTTCACATCAGGCTGGGCTTATCGCAGGAGCTGCTGTCCAAACTTCCCTCAGGCAGGACATTCCGGAGAAATAATGCCTTTGGAAGCAGCCCTAAGGAAGGACTGGAAGGGCGGGGAGGGGTACATGTTCTCTGCTGTCTCCCAGAGGGACTGTGCACCAGGCACTCATAGTGTAAGCTTCCTTGATAAAGCATCCTTTACTTTCTGCCTTCTCTTTTCTGCCTCACTTCCCCATTGTCTTACTGGCATTTTCTAGAATCACCTCCCAAAGAAACAACTTACAGTTGAATTTTTGTCTCAAGGTCACTTCCAAATAAAGTATTTTCACTTGAATCTTTACATCAGTGTTAAATTCTGGAGAGCCCAAATTAAGACACATATATGGGTTTGCTTCTCCAATTCCCATGTGAGTGTTAGTTGCTCAGTCATGTCTGGCTCTTTGGGACACCATGGACTGTAGCCCACCAGGCTCCTCTGTCCTTGGGATTCTCTAGGCAAGGATTCTGGAGTGGGTTGCCATTCCCTTCAACAGGGGATCTTCCTGATCCAGGAATCCAACCCTGATCTCCCTCACTGCAGGTGGAGTCTTTACCATCTGTAGACCTAATCTTATGCCTCTTTTTACCAAGAAGGAAGTGAAACTCAGAGAAGGCAAGTCACTTGTTCAAGGTCACACAGCTGGAGATCAGGAAAAGGTGGGCATTGACCATGTGCTGTCTGACCTCAAGCCCAGTGCTTTCTCCCCTCTGGGAGTCTCCTCCTTGATAAGGGCTCAGGGAGTAAATGAGATGAAGGTTGTAAACAGCTGGTAGGTCACTGATGTATGTATTGGATGGACGCAAAGCTCTTGCCTTGTGCTCATGTCCTCATTCTGTCATAAAATAAGAGGAATAATGGCAAACACCATGCTTGGTGCTGACTGTGTGTCAGGAACATTGTTGTAAGCACTTTATTATTTATCTCTTCTCTCCCCCTTCCTTTATCTCCAAGTATTACATGGGAAACATTTTCACTCTGTTCCTGCTCCCCAACCACCAGCCCCGCAGTGTGGTGTGATTTC